GGGTTAGGGTTAGGGTTAGGGTCAGGGTGGGATGTAGGGCAGGCTTAGGGGCGGGACGTAGGGTGGGGTTAGGGGTGAGGTTATTCCAGTACGCACCATACTCGCTGTCATAGAAGACGACGAACTTCTGCCAGCGCAGCTCGGCGACCAGCTGCAAGGTGACATCGTTGAGGCGCACGGGCGGCCGGGCAGCCAGCGTATAGCGCTCGCCATCGGGGCTGGGGTTTAGCTGGCAGGCCGTGCGTGGCGAGCCGTCGCGGTGCCGCTGCACAAAGAGGTGCGGAATGTGCATGGCATCGGTGAGGGACTGCAGCGCACTGGCCGACGCGCAGCCCGTCGACGTCACCAGCGCCAGGATTCCCTGGGTCATCAACTCGCAGGCTGGAAAAGCAACAGAGGAAGAAGGCGGACTGGGTGTCATATGGTGAGCTTATGTCTGATTGGTCGACTGCAATGTCAATCATATCATGATACAGGAAATACATCAAATGATATTCATGTTTACAAAACATCGGGATCAGTTATAGATGAACCTCACTCATCCTTTTTATCCGTGCTTGTGCTACACAGAGAACCCAATAGAAACCACACAACAACATGGGGAGAACATGCAAACTTCACACACGTAGACCTGAGGCGGAGGCTCGAACCCTCTTCCCAGAGGCAACAGTGCCAACCACTGCACCACCCACCTCCCCTCATCCTTTTCAACATTCTTAAGAAATCTAACAGCATTTCTTTGGAAAACCTGCTATCACAGCCCACAGGTTGCCTCGGTTCAAACGTCTTATCTCGTTCCAAATACGAAGCCTATTATCTCCACCTTTTAAGACGGACTTCTGAGGATAAGGCGGCTTCAGCGTGGTTCCTCATGTGCCGTGGACAGGTTTCATAAAGAAAGTGCCTTCACTGGTGTGACTGCATAGCCAGAATCTGTGAAGGGGGGGTGGGGGGTTGGGCATCGACGCTGAGAACCCCTAATTGCCCTCATTCCATTATCAGTCTACAGTGAAGCTCTCAATGCAGGATTGGGGCAGTTTCATAGCTACCTGTCAGATTTCACTCCCGAAAAAAGCCCCACAATAATAATACATAGGATGTCGCGTATATGCGCCACGAGTAACATTAAAAAAAGATGATAATGTACAGTATTTGTTTACTCATTTTCAAAACGTGTTGACACTAACCAATTTATATAATTGCATGTTGGAACAGAAGCAGTTTTTCATGGGTACAAAAGCAGGACTAATCTTGACAGCAATATTTTAGTCATAAGCCCTCTGCATTACAAATGGTGCTTTATCATAATGCTGCATGTTGTCATTTATCTTTATACTCTTTTTAGTTATAGAAACACCTTTAACATAATGCTAGATGCTATCCTTTATCCTCATGCTCCTTTATGTTATAGACACTCCTTTATCATAATGCTAGATGTGATCCTTTATCCTCATGCTCCTTTATGTTATGGACACTGCTTTATCATAATACTAGATGTGATCCTTTATCCTCATGCTCCTTTATGTTATAGACACTCCTTTATCATAATGCTAGATGCGATCCTTTATCCTCATGCTCCTTTATGTTATAGACACTCCTTTATCATAATGCTAGATGCGATCCTTTATCCTCATGCTCCTTTATGTTATAGACACTCCTTTATCATAATACTAGATGCGATCCTTTATCCTCATGCTCCTTTATGTTATAGACACTCCTTTATC